TACCAAAAGTGAGTGATCAACACTGTGGCATGCAGGAAGAAGACAGAGAGAGGTACATGGGAGGTACAGACAACAAAGATGAACTGTTTTGCATATAGAGCACTGTGTTGTCAGTGATGACAGGCATTGAACTACAGGTGGATAGATGGGTAGAATGATCAGGTATGTAGACAGGGGGAGTGTGCCCATGACTGTGTATAGGGTTGGCAGAGGATGTTTCTACAAGTGTATTTGTATGTGCTGTAACAACATCCAAGTATGTGGAGCTTACAGGGGACAAGGTTGTAGTGACTTCTTGGCCACAGCCAGCTATTCTGAGGGAATGAGTAGTTGGACCTCTGGGCTTGGGCCATGTTGCAGAAGACATCAAACACAAGGCATAACATACTACACAAAAACACTGTTCTACATCCTACTTTGGTGAGTAATGACAGGGGTCTTAAAAACTTGCAAGTGTCCATCTAGATGCAATGATGTGTCTCTCCTCATCCAGAGCAAAGAAGAATGAAGAAAGCCAAAGATGCATGGAAACAATCCAAGGGACCAGTAGGCCAGCCTGTAGGACCATGAGACCAGAAGAACTAGATGTTGCCCAGCTGCCACTGTCAACCATTCAGAGGGAGATCGGTGCAGGAGATCCTGGATAGAGTGGGAGAACAATGTGGAACAAAACTCCTAATCGTAAAAAAAGACTTGGTTTGCTGGTCTCATAGAGCCTGGTGAGACCCCTGAGACTGTGGCCCCTAGACTGTGGCCCCTAGTTACCCTTCAGGTCTGGAACTGAGATCACTCTTGTAGCTTCCAGCCAAACAATAGGCAGGCATATGGGCTGAACATTTACATCAGGTAAATACACTCCTTGGAGTGATTAATCATGGGAGAACAGAAGGGCAGTGTTTGCACAGGGGCATAGCTCAGGGGGCAGGAGCGCATGAGAGGGAAGGACACAGGGAAGAGGTGATTACATTGTGGGGAACTGTAGTCAATGTCATGAGACAAAACGTGTAGGAA